TCCTTGCTTTTCATCATTTTGAATATTTCTTGCCACTCTCTTCTGGCCTGCAAAGTTGAGAAAGCAGTTGACAGTCTTATGGAAGCTGCCCTACAGGCAACTAACCACTTTTCTCCTGCTGCTGTTAGGGTTCTCTTTGTTTTTTTGATCTTTTGCATTTTAATTATAATGTGTCATCATTCGGGCCTCTTTGGGTTCATCTCATTTGGGATTCTCTGAGCTTCCTGTACTTGTATGTCTAGTTCTTTCACCAGGTTAGGGAAGTTTTCTGTCCTTTTTTCAAATAGGTTTTCAATTTGTTGCTCTCTCTCTCCTCTGGCACCCCCATGATGTGAATGTTGGTATGCCTGAAGTTGTCCAGAGGCTCCTTACACTATCTTCATTTTTTTATTTTTTTTGTTCTGATTGGGTGTTTTTTTCTTCCTTATATTCCAAATTGCTGATTTAATTCTCAGCCTCATCTACTCTGTTATTGATTTCCTGTAAATTATTCTTCATTTCAGTTAGTGTATCCTTCAGGTCTGATTAGTTCTTTTTTGCAGATGCTATATCATTTTTCATGCAGTTGAAGTTCTCACTAAGTTTCCTGAGCAGCCTTATAACCACTGTTTTGAATTCTCTACCTGGTAGTTTGCTTGCCCCTATTTCATTTGGGAGTTTTTCTGGAGATTTCTCCTGTTCTTTTATGTGGGACTTGTTTCTTTGTCTCTGCATTTTGGATGCTTACCTGAGTGTGTTTCTATGTATTAGGTAGAGCTGTTACATCTTCCAGACTTGGTAGAGTGACTTTGTGTTATAGATGTCCTAGAGGGCTCAGTGGTGCAGCCTCCCCAGTCAGCTGAGCCAGGCACTCCACATGCGTCCCTGTGTGGGCTATGTGCACTGTCCTGTTGTAGTTGAACCTTGACTGCTGTTGGTGTCACTGAAAGAGACTGACTCCAGGGCCAACTGACTACAAGGACCAGCTGTGACTACAGTGGAGAAGCTTCTGTGCAGGAGTCAATCCTAGGATGCAGAACTTGCTTCAATGGGCCTTTGGTGCTCACTGAGTCCATCTCTTGAGTGTGTGGCTCACAGAGGTAGCAGGGTTGTAAATCCAGCGTGGTCTGAAGCTGTCCACCAGATGCACGGGCTCTGGGCACTCCCAGGAGATACAAGGTCAGCCAACTGTGCCTTGCCTGGGGCCACAAAGCACGAGCTACAGAACAATCTGCAGATGGCTGCTACTTGTGCTTTGGAGGTGTCCAGGAGAGGATAATGGAGACTGGCTGCCACTACTGCCAGGCCTGGGGACACTTAGCAAGAGAATGGGGTACACAGAGGCCAAATGCTGATTATTTGAGAGATTTTAGGAAAGTCCAAAGCAGGAGGCAAAAGAGGCCATTCAAATAGAAAAGCAACTGGAAATGGCTTGGGTGGGGCCTGCAACTTGCATGGACCCACAACTTGGTGGGGTGGCGTCTCAGGGAACCACCAGGGAAAGGTGAACAGTATGAGCCAGACTGATGGAGACTCAGATATGGCACCCACCTGCCAGCTCTGTGGGGGTTGTCTCAGAAAAGGAACAATGGCCTTTATTCTAGGAGAAAGCTGTCCCCCAGCCCCCAGCTCTCACCCTCATGCCAGATAACGCAGTTCCTCCCCATGTGTCCCTCGTGCCTTTCAAGCTGCTGCCCCAGTGCTACAGCTCAAAGGGAGTGACCCTTTAAGAGAAACTACCCTGGGACTCCAGAAGCCCTCCATCTCACTCTGCCACAATCCCCACTGGATTTTAAAGTCAGAAGTTATGAGGGCTTCTCTTCCTGGCCCTGGAACCCTGGGCTGGGAGGCCTAGTCGGGGGCTAGGACCCCTCGCTCTACATGGGGGACCTCCACAGCTAAGATAGTCCCCCAATTTCAAAGCACACGAGGGTATGGGACAAGCCTGTCTCATGTCTCCACCACTCCTACCAGTCTCCATGTGGCTTCTTTAATTCCCAAGCTACATGACTTCCATTCAGCTAGATTTCAGGCAATTCTGAATGATGGTTGTTTCTGTAGTTTACATGTAATTATGATGTGGTTGTGAGAGAATTAGAGTACCACATTAACCTAAACCACCATCTTGACCAGAAGTCTCTGAAGTTGTACATTTTAAATGAGTAAAATTTACTCATGACAATTATACCTCAATGAAACTATTATAAAATAACAAAATAAATAACTCCAAGGATTTTAGCCCAAACTGACCAAAGTACTGAATTTCCATCAACTGAGAATGAGAAGGGTAAATAAGCAAACTGCGGAGAAAACATGAAATTCAATGTTCGTTTATTTTTTTAAAGCTGCTCTTATTTGTTTGTTTGGTTAGAGAGGAAGGGAGAGGAGGAAGGGAGAGAAACATTGATATGAGAGAATAACATCAATTGGTTGCCTCTCATATGTCCTCCAACTGGAGACCAAACCTGCAACCTAGGCATGTGCCCTGACCAGGAATCAAATTGGCAACCTTGTACTTTGCAGGACAATACCCAACCAATTGAGCTACACCAGTCGGGGAATTTCAATGTTTAAAATGTTGAGTTTGTTTAAGACATTTTATGTAAAATGTGTACTAAATATGCAAGTCAAGACATCAAGTAGGCAACTGGACATACAAGTCTAGAGTTCATGAAAGAAGTGTGAGGTGAGTATAAATTTGGAAGTCTTTGGCATGTATAAGGAATATTTAAAGTCATCTGTGCTTGAGTGAAGCAGACAGTGCTCAATAAAAATTAGTGGGACAATAAAAACTCTACGTACTTTGTTATTAACTTAATTCATCCTAACAACAAAAATTATTAAGTAGGAATTATTATCTTCATTTTATATATGAAGAAAGAAACTCAGGCATAGGGAAATGAGTCCCTCAGTGGGAAAAGACATAAGTCACAGATCCCCACACTATTAACTAATTAACTAATTTATTAACTATTAACTAATAAAGTGAAGTAGCCAACGATTTAATAAGCCTAAATTCAAATTCCCAAAATCCATAACTGACATGTTAGTGACCTCCCTTAAATTTTATATATATATTAAAATCAATGTCATTTACACATTAAAAAGATTAAAATCTGTGCTACCAAGTACTACACATGTGCCATTTTAAAACTTCTAGAAGGAAAAAGGAGGATATTTTAAGCTAGTTACCTATGCTGAATTAGAAACTGAAAGACACAGTTCAATGAGCAAGGACTTGGACTGGGATCAAAACAGATACAGAAACTATATTGTAGTCTACTAGAAGTTAAAAAAAAAATTCTATATCCACATCTAGAGATATGAACTAGCAGGAAAATGCCAGTAGTTGCCTGTCTAAGAAAATGTCACTTAAATTTCAAGGAAATATGTCCCTTGAATTTTAATTCTAACCTTTAAAAAAAAAGAAACTTGGAAAGGTTAAAATAGTACATCAAATGCAATAATAAAGGATATAAAATTGGAGACATAAAAGGCCATCCTCTGTTATTAAAAATATTGCTGTTGATAATGCCTCATTCAGGAATAATGAAAGACTAATACAGGACTTTTTATAGGGGTTTTTTTCCCCTTAAATACTATTATTCTGCCCACTGATGTTCAATATAAATTATAATAATTAACAAATCTAATTACCTTGACTTATATAAAACCTTGACTTATTGAAGATCTTTAATACTGCCTCAACAAATATGTTCAATTTTATTCCAGTTCTCTGTTCTTACTGCATTAAATAAAAAATAAAGACAGTAAACAGTTTAATTTTTTTTCAAAGTCTTTCATCTAGAATTGTTCATTGGCATACCATTTCATTCATCTCTTTACCAAGAAAGGAAAAAGACAATAAAAACAAAATCGACAAGCATTTCACATTTCCTTCAATGTCCTGTTAAAAAGAGGAAGAGGTCTCTGTAACCTAAATTGAACAACGTGGTAAGAACATAACCAAAAAATTGGACTTTCCATATTTTTTATTTATAAAAGCTGAGTTACAGCATCTTACCCATGTCTGAAGGGGTTGAGGGGGTTGAAGGAATTGATACATCTTAATAATTACCTGCTTAGAAACCATAAAGGGAACTGAAAGTTTAAAAAAAATTTCATTAGTATCCCCCAAAAAGAGTAAAAGGACTCCAGGAGTTTCACTAAATACATGAAATGACCAGTTTTCAAAGAAATTATGCATTGAAAAGTTCAATAAATAGCAAATATCAACATCTGCCCAGCCAATAAAATTTATCATCAACTTATGAAAATGCTACACCCAATTGGTTCCATTTTGCTCCATTCTTACTTGCAACATACTCTTAACCTACTCTTATGTGCCCCATTGATCATCCACACACTAGCAAGAACTATCCAAGTACAAAGATAATGTTCAAACTTTTAAAAGGAACTTTAGAAGGCTCTTTATCATCTTACCTCTTTGTGTTTTCCTGCTTTTATCCATTACCACTACTACATATACAGCCACCCGATACACAAACACCAAGAATATGTGTTCTCCCATATATAAGCACTAGAGCTCAGCCACACTCAGCTATCTGCCAGCCCCCAAAGCAACAGTTCCCCGTAAAGCCTCTGTATGTGCTGCTTCCTAACTGGATTGTTCTCCCCATCCCCATCTCCTTTTTGCTAATTCTTACTCACCCTGAAGTGTCATTTTAAGTGCTGCATTCTTTGTGATAAGTTCTTTGCCCAGTTCCTTTTCTTCCAACGCCATTTGATGAGTCACAATATCTCACATTCAGCCTTCACCTAAAAATTCTCACTCTAAATCAATTGTATATTGACCTAACTTTCTGTCATAATACAACATAAGCTATCCAAGGGCAGGTGGTGGTGTCTTATTCATTACTGTGTCCTCAGCATCTAGCTCAATACCCAACCCACAACCAAACCTAAATAAACTCATTCAATGAATGTATTGTGAAAGGTACTTCATTCATAGAGTGTATACATACCAGTTTTTGAAACTCTTAATTAAAGAAATAGCATACCTGTCTTTCCAACTCCTGTCCTGTTATGCCAGCCTCTACATGAGCTGTCAGATTGTGCTCATCAACCCAGAGGATTCGATTCTGTTGCAAAGGAATAAAAAAGTCTCATTTCCATGAACTATTGACATTTCCTCAGGAACTATAATTTTCTAATTCAAAGCAGCAAGTGACTAGAGAGTAATTGGCAGGTAGGGTTACCCACACCCGAAAGGGTTACTTACTCCTAAATATACAACATGACAGATGTAGTAACATAAGCAGTACATTACACAGGAGTTGGTTTAAAATACAGATTCTGTCTTTATTCAGATATTAATTTGAATTAAACTCTACCTTTTATTTTAGGCACATTATTTAACTGTCTAAGCTTAGTATTTCCTTATTTGCAAAGTATGGATAGCAACACCTACTCACAATGTTGCTGTAAAAATTAAATGAGATACTGCACATATAAAAAATAGCACAGCATACACAATTCCTGTCATTTTGTAAATACTATTTACAGTTAACAGTTAGTAATCATATCTAATTTAAGCATATCAGAAAATGGCCACTGTGTGATTAGAAAAAGGTATCTGCAAAGACATTTTAATATAAATGGCATCTCTACTTTATTTTTAATCCAAAGCAGAACCAGAGGCCCCAGCTTGAAAACAAAGCACATTCCCGTGTGTGAACACACACACACAAATTACTTTCCACTATTAAGAGCAGACTCTGTTCTCCTTCTGTTTGGCTGAGCAATCAGGTAACATACAGAATCTTCTGGATCCCAGAGAAGCTTTGAGATATTCAATTTCATGGCAATAACTAATGCACTTAAGTCTCGTTCATTATAAAAAGAACATAATAGATAATATAAAAATAATAGTCTCAAGCTGCCTATATTCCAAATTTGAACACCTATGAATAACTGCACTGTTTAATTCACAGAATTATGATAAGTTTTAATAAGATGATGTATGTGAATGTACTTTTTTATGTTAATAGAACTATCTTTATAATTATACTCTCATAATAAGACAATGATGATTTCAATGTAACTATGGCAAGATGAGACTTTTGGTGCCTTGGCAGCTAAACAAAAGGAAGTATTAAACCATAAAGTTAAAAAACAAAATTTAGTGATCTGATGGTACCTTATATTATAATAATTTCTATATATCTTCTCCCCTAGTAGACTGGTTGTTGAAGCAATTACATGCCTGTGCAAATATGTCCAAATATATTTTTGGCAGAACAAAAAGCTAAAGACAACAAATTTAAAAACACCTATGGACACTCACAAAGAAACCTAGAGACACTATATTGGCTACCTTATTACATCCACTACACACTACCCCATACCAGTTAACAGTAAAACAAAAACTTTCAAGGCCAACAAGTCTTAATATTAACATATATATTTAAATAGAAAACTGGTACAACTAATTTCCATCATAATTTGTACATATTTTATCAGAAGTGCAAAATCATGCACAGATACAGCTTACTGACTTAAATGCAAATCACATTTAAAAGGACCATACATCCATTATATTTGAGAGAATTCAATGTTAAAGGCAGTGACTAGAAAGGCAGTTTTTCTACAAAATAAATGGTTAAAAACCTGGCCTTTAAAAATCTGCCACAGAATTTTAAACATCTACTCAATATAAAAACTTATACTTGTATTATCTCATTTAATCTTCATAAAACCTCCCACAGTATTAGTGTCTCAATTTTGCACATTCAGGAACAAATTCAGAGGTAAAGAGCCAGAAATTCAAACACATTCCAAAGCCTATTCCTGAACAGGCTACTTTTAAGCCATCTTCATAGGAAGCTGCCTTTTCTTAAACTATGGGATAAGGACAAAGGGTGATGGGTAACTCTATAGCAGAATAATCAGGCTGACACTATCTGAACTTGTTGATCAATTTTAGGACACTGAAAGTGGACACCTAACTATTATGTACCTCCATAGGTGACATGACATAGAAAAACACATCATCATCTACAAGATATTCTTCTTTAAAAAAATACTAAAAGCTATGCCTGAATCTAACTAAATTTTATATCTACCTTCAGGTTTAGAGGACATTCAGAACCTAGAGGAAGAGTTAAATGACACCAAGAAGAAGCAACAGACAAATTCAAAATATGACTTATTCTATACTACAAGTCACCTAGTTTCTCCAAGTCAGTAGCATTCCAAAAAAAGAGAATGGGGCTTCAATAAAATGAAACTTAAGGAAAACAACCAAAAGCTAACGTGGGCCTTGTATGAATGCTCATTTGAACAATGAACTTAAAATGAAGACAATTTTGAGACAACTAGAAAACTTGAATGTTGACTGGATATTAAACGATATAACAATTTACCTTTAACTTTGCCAGGAGCGATAATAGTGAGAAAATGTACTTTTTAAATGAGATATACATAAATATTTAGATGTAAAGTAGCACAATACCAGAATATGCTTTAAAATAGTAGAGAAAAAAAGAAAGATAAAACCAATATTGCAAAATGTTAAAATTACTTAATCTAGAGAATGGGTATATTGTTCTACTTTGGTGTTTAAAAGAATTTCTAATTAAACAGTTACAAAAATATTTTTTATTATAATGAGGAATATATATCTAACAGGAATATTGTTAACTACACAAAGATAAAGTTTATACCCAAATTAAAAGTTTAACATGCCACAGTGTCCAACTCTTGGGCCACAATGAGCCAAAACTTCAAAAAATAACCCTACCCTTAAAATTAACTAGCTCCTCTACTCTTCTACAACAAAAAAATGCAACAGCATTAATTAAAATGTTGGCAACAAGTAAGTATGGGTGATTCAAATTAACCTTAATATTACTTTTCTTTCTTTAACAAATCAGGTCATATACTGTATCAATATTCCAATCCATGCTTTTCAAATCATCAATTTCACATGCCAATTTCGTAGAATCCATGAAGATATGTGCCTTAGAGTAAGAGCGAGCTTAGCTTTTGGAGACCTAAACACAAGGGTAACATATAGCCATAAAATTAATTTAAAACAAAACAGATAATATATTCTTTTTTAATGACAACCAGGACTGAGCCATAAATACATTTTTTTAAATCAAATGCTTTCTTTGAATGCATCTTAATAATCATATACCATTTGTGAAGTGTCCAAAGAAATAATTGTTCTTGTCTCATCTTCAGGACACATCAGGCCGTATGAGACACTTGTTCCTCCTGGAAAAACACAAAGAAACAACTTTATGTTTAAATATTTTATTTTAAGCAATATATAGGGCAAATGTCTGACATCAAGTATACAAATAGGCCTGCTAAGGAAGTAATTCCTATGTCTACTTTGCAAAATGTAATTTGTAAATGCTAACACACTAAGAACAAACTCACCTTTATTTTATGCTGTGTACCAAAATGAAAAACTATTATGGAACTAAAAGCAACGGGCTATGGCTCCATCCCTTGGGCACACTCAAGTGAAGCTCCTGGCATTTGTGAAACTCCAAAAACGTGACTAGAAAAGTTCTAAACTAATATAAAAACAAAAAACAAAAAAACCCCACAACCTATCCTATACAACTAGAGACACAGTTACTTCCGTTCTGCCATGAGATTCATTTACCACTTAAAATAATATCTTACATGCTCATACAGAAAGGCTTTAATAAATGAGAATACCACCAAGTTAAAATTGCCCAGATTATATGATATTCCAAAACAAACTTGTATATTCTTTGGTAAAAAGTGATTTTAATATAAAATAGATAATATATAGAAGTATTTAAACAATGTATTCCTGTTTTCCACTAACATATGTTGTCAAAGGAAAAATAATTTCTTGAAATCAATACAGAACACAGTGTTCTTAGTTCTTAACCATATCTATATCAACACATATCAAAATAAATTCTTAATTGGTACTTCCTTGTGTTTTACACAGAAAATATGTAGAAGTCACCTTGACACAAGGTGAGCATTATTGGGAGTATTGAGCTATGAGATCAGCTTAATTTTATAAGATGAGACCATGAGTTGTCAGCTAAAAACATGTCTGTGCTCAATAACCACTATCTGCTTGCCAGTCATTGGAAATCAGAAAAATATTTAATTAAAAATAAAACTGGAAGGGGAAGGGTCAAGTCAAGGAACATGTATAAAGGACCCAGGGACAAAGCCAAAGTGGGGGAGGATTGAGGGTGGGAGGTGAGGGTGGGTGGGGCAGGGGAAAGTGGTGGCGGCAAAATGGAGACAAATATATTCGAACAATAAAAAAAATTTTTTTAAATGTTTTAAAAAAGTAATACTGTAGTGTCTTTGTCATATGAATTCAACAAGAAGTATCAGCTGAAGAAGGAATCAGAAGTTTCTGATTTGTTGGGGTCTCACTTGCATTCCATCATTGCTAATTCAGTCAGTGAAGGCAATTTTCCTTTGGATTGAGTAAGTTGTTAAAATAATGTGGTTGATGAAAGATCAAGAAAGTTCAAATTTGTCTTAAAATGCAAAACAATATTAGTTCTCAGTATTAAAAGATATTAATTTGGTCATCAGTCTCCTTGTTGATGTTTTATGCTGTATTGCATTCCTTCTCAAGGGTTTACAGGAGGATATTTAACCTTTGAAAAATACCCTCTCCATAAGGATTATGGTTAGAATGTAATTATTAAAGCAGGAAAATATTCTTATTTAGGCATTAAAGTCACAGATTCAACAAGGATCCACGTGGGAAAAAAGCCATGAACTAAGGGTACATCACATCTTAGGTAGATCTACTCAGAAATGAAAAGCACCAACCAGTTTTTCAGGAAAACCTTATCATAATTACAAAAATATTTCTTTTCCGCAGGATGGCGCAAATATTTAAAATACACATTTTAAATTAAAAGAAAAAATTTACATCATATTAAAATTCAAAAGGCACAATACCTACCACCAATTGGTATAATACAAAGGTTATATTTGCAAGCTAGATTCACAATCTTAACTACATCATCATGACATGCTGTTGAAAAAAGAGAAAATAAATTAATCACAGAAACATGAACAAAATCTGGATAACCCTGCTAAATGTGAGTTTATAAAGTAAACTTTTCCTTCGATTCATTCGTTAACACATGAAATAGCTATATTAAAACTGTTCATTTATCTTTTTAACTTTTCATTTTGAAATAATTTCATACTTACAAAATAGTTGCAAAAATGTTACAAAAAATTTCCTTCACCCAGCAGCTGTAAATAACATCTTAAGTAACTATAATTCAATTATTATAACCAAGCACTTGACACTGATAGAATACTATTAACTGATGTACTGGACCTTACTGAAATTTGGCCAGCTGTTCCTCTAATGTCCTGTTTTCTGGACCAGGATCACACACTGCATTTAGTTGTCCTGTTTCCCTACTGAGACAGTTCCTCAGTCTATCTTTGACTTCCATGACTTTACACTTTTGAAGAGCATTGCTCAGTTACTTCATAGAAGTCCCTCGATTTGGGTTTGTATGATATGTTCTCATTATTAAATTCAGGTTATACATTTTGGCAGGAATTCCACAGGAGTGTCTTTCTCAGTGTGTTAGGTCTAGAGGTACATGAGGGAGACAAGTCTCATTTCTAATGCTAACTTTTCATCATTTGGTTATGTAATATCTGCTAAGTTTCTTCACTCTAAAATTATTATTAATTGAAATGTATCTTGTGGAGGGATATTTAAACTATGTAAAAATAATTTTTTTCATACTTTCACCTACTGACTTTTTGCATCTGTTGATGATTATTGTTTTTAAACAAATTTTAGAATATTGTGTATGATATACTGCATGTGAACTTTCTGTTGTACAAAACTGAAAAGTACCTTGATTTGTATAAAAGTTATAAATAAAAACATGACTGGAAAAGACTCTAAATACAAGCAAGAGGTGTTAAGACTCTATCTGACTAGCCATAGGGCTTTAAAGGGGGGGAATAACACAGCAAAAAGAGTATTTCAGAAAGATCAATTTTCTTATAGACTATAAAAAAGCATGAAAGAGAAAAAGACTTGAGGTCAGAAAACAATGTAAAAACCAAGGATTATTTGCTAAGGGCCTGAAGAGAAAATAAGGACACAAAGAAAATATGCAAAAGACTGTCCGTTTACAAACATAAAAGCTGTAACTGTCATATCTCAAATCTGCTTAAACCTAGGAATATGCGTATGTCATTGGTGTCATTCCAACTTTAAATAAAAATTCACTTTCAAGTTTTCAGATTAAGCTCACAAACTTTACTGTGACACAATTTTTACTAAATATTAATTGTTTATTTGTAATTAATAAAACACCCAAAGATGTCTGCTAAAAAACTTTAACAAGGCAAAACAATGTCTAGGATGGCCACCTAATCAGAAGCCATCCCTGACCACGTTTCCCGACAGAGTGCTTCGTCACCCCCGCCCCCCGCCTTGTCTTGCTGTTGGTACTGTCTTATTTTTCCTCATACCCCTTATGGCCACTGACTACATTATATATTTATCTGTTTACTGGTCTGTCCCCTCCCTTCCAATTATACTGTATGGCACCTGAGAACAGGAATTTTTGTTTTGTTCACTGTTTATTCTCAATACCTAGAACAGTACCTAACACACATTTTCACAGACCTAAAGTTTTGGTATTTAGATCACTGAAAACAATACGTAAATACTAAATGTAATAAGATAAGTTATTTTTTTAGTATTATTGCTAAAAAAACAACTTTGTTTTCACAAGCATACTTACCGCAGTCAAGCTATATCATATAAGTCACTAACTACTTGTCCAAACTAAATAAAAGAGAGATATCCACACTGTGTAAAGGTCAGAATAATGAAAAACCCTGCTGTAAAGAATACTCTAAATCAGAGAAGTTACATATACTACAAGTTCTTACCCTTAGACAAGCCCTAGACATCCTATTAAAGCAACATCCAGAAATCAGATTCAGATTACAGCCCAACCTAAAGACATCCACAATGACAGATTTCCTGGATATGTGAATATATATGTATTATATATATGGTATAAACACATATTCAAATGGCAAGATGAGACAGCCACCTCCACTCCATGGAATATCACATTGTGTCAAAACTTACCTTTGTGCAAAGAAAAATTTGAACTTTATCACCAATAGGAAATTTACATTAAAGTTAAATAAAGGCCTCAGTGAAATGATGCCTGTTAGGAGACAAAACTATTTCCAAGAACTCCTCATACTGGAAAATTCAACAGAATGAAATTAAAATTATAAACTTGATTTAGGCACCGATACACTTTGCAGACAGATTCATGAGGTATGGGGGGGAAATGGCAAAGGGAGTATTTTTGAAAAATTAACCTTTCAAGAGTGTTTGAAGGCTTGAAGAGACAAGACACTTGAGGCATGAGAACTTTTAAAGTTACTGTAGAATTCCAGCTATGCACTGACAAGGGCCTAAGTTGGAAACTGCGATGGAAAAAATAAAAACGGAAGGCAAAGTTGTGAGGGAAGAATTTTACAGCTCAAAGAAACTTTGGTGCCACAACTGACTAACTCTACATGTTTCCAAAATCTGGATTTTAAAAAAAGCTGAATTTCTTAAAGCAGGATATATACTCCCATTATGGTAATTTTCTTAATATTTTAATACTAAGATATATGAAGAAAATACTTAAAAGGCACAGTAGAAAGTTCCACTCAAGAAATATCAAAGAATAGTCTATAAGGTTTCTATGGGAAATAAATATTGATAAATGTTTTCATTTTTTCCAGTAAAGAAATGGAAAGAGCCTTCCTCAAATCTTGGTAGAGGAGTAGTATAAAACTATTAAAAACAGGCAGGCAAAACAAAAGCGTTTCTTTTACTCTTTCAGGAGGTGCTAAACTTCTAAACTAACAGAAACAGAAACTTATTTCATACTATTAAAAATACTCAGGGAAATATACATCCCAAGTATCAGGAAAGTAATTCCACCTTAGCTACATGGGCTCTTGGACTTTTCCTACTATGTATGTCACCTCCCTCCTAGCCCCATATTAAAGTGTAACCTTTTCTTCAGATACTCCCTGCAAAGCAAAAGGACCACATCTAAAAACTGAGAGTTCATGAGTAAGCCATTTTTTGAAAAATAAAACTCTATATAGTCCTTTCTTAGAGTGTGAAGAGGAAAAAGGATCAGAAGATGAATAGAACTTTTTAAAGAGGCAATTACAGACAGTAAGGAACAGTATATTTGTTCTGCTTTATATTTTCGGATAGAAGAGAAGGGTATAAAAACCATATATATAAAAAATAGTGAATCAGCAGACCAAAATAACAATAGAAAGCTCAACTATCCTCTATCTCAAGCGAAATCCCTGAATGAAATTAATTTCTCAAAATTTAATTATTCATATCAAAGAAATATGTATATTAAACAACCTGTTCCACCATCTGATCACCATGCCTTTTTTTAGCTCATAAGCTCATGTCAGCAAATTATTATTAGCTTGCAGTGATCAATTATTTTAATTAAGAATTTAATTATTTTAATCAATGATGTGAGTGTATCATTATTGATACTAATTTCATTGAGTTTGAAATTAACTAAAAATTTATTTTTCTACTGCCCTCACAATATTATTTATTTATTTATAATAAAGATTTCATCATCAACAACAAAAATCAATCATTAAAACCAACAGTTCAGGATGATCAGATCAGGAAAGAACTTTATGACTTTTAGCAAATTCTAAAAATACAGATACCTATATTTCTTAAACTCATATGTTAAAATTTACATATTTCATATACTAAATTTACTTAAAATTTAACAATACTAAATTAAGAATACAAGAAAAAGAACTTACTTGGCCATATAACTATATCAGGAATGCGATGAAAAATTCCTTCCCTGAGCAAAAATATCTCATGAAGACAATGACCTGTTTTATGGTTTAAAAAAGAAAATGCAAAAACATCTTAAATTGCAGGAAATTTAAAAATCAAAGATAAATAGCACTTATATAAAATTGCTTACCATGAGCTCTAAATACTCGATCATCTGCTTCTTGTGAATATGAAATACTAGTTTCTTTAAGCTCATGAAGAAAATCTTCATTTACAATAGAAGGAGGTGTATCACTAGGATTTAAGGATGCCTAGAAAATAAAATGGATTTCTTTGGCTTATTTCTAGCAAATAAATTTTGAATACCTCTATTAGGGAGAGTGACCATAAAATATAAAAGGTTTTAATATCCAAACTAAGTCAGAAGCATAGGAAAACACCAATGATTTGTATGGAAACCAACTTTGTGACAGTAAACAAGTGGTCTGGTTAAGGACATTCTGTAACGTGAGTTATAGAAGCCTTATGTTTCCTCATTTGCTTCTATAGCTCACCTTTTTCTTACTTCTAAAGATTTCAATCAAGAGCAAGAAAGACAGCAAACTCTCAAATTTTCTATTTTAGATTAAGGAGACTTGGGGGAAAGCTACATGACTTTGCATTATCTATATTTTTACCTATAGATAATATTTATCATTTCCCATACACCCATTGTCATTTTTAAATGAACAGCAAAAAGCCTCACAATATAAGTAATAAAACCATTTTATATAATTGCTTTAAAACTCACAATATAATTATAAACTTGATACTTAATTTCAATGAACAGGTAACCTGAAAAATTAATCTTCAACTTTAAAGCTATGTGATATTGGGCAAGTAACCCAACTTCTGTGAACTCTGCCTTCTGGATCTGTTAAATGAGCTTATCACCCCCGAATTTATACAGCTGCCATTAGGATAAAAGGTTAAATGTGATTATTTTTGTGAAAAGCACCTGACACATCACCTAGCCTATAAAAAGAGACCTATAAATGGCTGCCCAAATCAAATCTGCTATTTAAAAAAAGGGAAAAAAACCCCATGATATAGCATTTGAAAAAAAGAAAGTATAAAAATATGTGAAGATATATATATGATATTTATATAGCCTTTTAGTATCTTATTAAGGATCTGTATTTAATTTCTAATTACACAGTTGGCCCTCTATATGCGGGTTTTGCGGGTCCACAAATTCAGCGAATGACAGATCAAAAAATTTCTTTAAATACCTGAAATTTCCAAAAAGTACAATTTAAATTTGCCATGGGCCAAGCTCTATGCTGAATCCATGCAAATGAAGTAACAGATAGGCATATACTGCTCTAGATTACATGCAAATATTATAGCATTTTATGTAAGGGTCTTGATCATCCATAATTTTGGTCTTCACAGGAGTCCTGGAACCAATCCCTGTGGGATTAGTACACGAATATACTTATGTAATAAATATTTATTGAGTGCATGATATAAGCCAGGCACTGTTCTAGGACTTGGGAAGACAGTGGTGAATTAAACAGGAAAAAAAGTCTTGACCTCATGGAATCTACAGTGGAAGGAAATAACCAATAGAACCCCAAGAAAACATACAGATTAGTATTTTGTTAAGTTACTGAAAACATCTGAATAGGGCTCAAAAACAGAAAAATAATGTATGTAAATAGAACTGGTGAAATGTCTAAATATGGTATATAGATTGCATCGATGTAAAACAAATCACAAATAAGAGAGACAATTAAGGAGATGAAAAAGGAGATCTTTTAAGAAAACTTAAAAGAATTTAGTTTGGGAAGGGAAGGAATTAGTTGCCTAGCCTCATTTAATTACTAGAATAAAATGTATCAATGGATTTATGAATAAATCTAGTAAGTACTCACTGAATTATCTACAGTCCTTAATAACATGGTAGATATAATGGAGAATATAGTGTTGGCTATGGCACTTATATCCAGTTAGAGGGACAAGCAGAATACCATGCCAGAGCAAATAATAATAAGTAATAAAAATCATAATAATATAAAGAAATACTAACAATTTCATTAGTCTGATATGTATACAGTTTAAAGTTTTCTAATCCTACTCTCAAAAAAGTGAAACTATATCCTAAGAAGGTCAAGATAATAGTAAACTTCTTAACAACAACAAAGCATGACAAATGCATAAAAGTAACTATAACAAATTACAAGGATAAGTCTAATTAATTTGGAATTACAGACATATACACACAGAATTAAGCATATTAGTATTCATTCTTATTTGCTTACTTTAGAGGTAGTTTTATGCTCCACATTTACTCCAAGGGTATTTTGGATCCACTCTTTAAAACCTGGTAAAACCATGCCACTAAGAGGGTACCTAAGGCACAAAAAAGGTAAAACATTTGAATAAGATATCCTCATTTAAATTTTAATCTTAGATTTGCTTCAGTAATGGTCAAGTAGCTTCTAGCAAACCAACCCTTTCATATGTAATTATAAACTCTGGACAAAAACAAAACAAATAAAATAAAATCCAATGATCTGAAGGCAATATAGACCAAAAGCAGGCAAAAAAAGGAGTGTGCCTGGCAGAAAGAAAACTGTACTGCATGACTTTCTTCCCCTCCCTGCCACCCCCCCCCCCGCCAACCGCTTTAAACAGGCTTTAGCTTTAGGGAAAGCCCCAGCTGGTATCACAAAAAGAAACAAAAATGCAGAAAACTCCGTCTTTCTGGCTTGAGGAATCAGAGGACAATGTTTGAAGTGAGCAGAGCACCTAGCAAAAGTACAGGGAAATCACAGAAAAGGAGAGGATTAGAAAAAGACTTACATAAACTCTGTCCAAATGTTTGGCTGTCCTTGAATTACACATCTATCGAGCAGATGCTAAGTAACTCAGCTAAGCTTAAAAGGACTGAACAGATAACTCAGCTGCTCACTACCACAGAGGAAAGTCAGTAGTTTGAGATCAGTTCAAGTTAATTGCTTGATGCGGGGGCAGGAGGGGTGGAGCCTCTTCAGAGGAATGTAACAGAATCCACAATCCAGAGTCTCTACAACGTATCATTAACAATGCCCAAGATAACTCCAAAATTACTAGACTTGAATAAACAAGCAAGTGTGATCCATATTTGAGAGAAAGAACAAGAACCTACCCAAATATGAGCCAAGATACCAAAAACAGAACACAAGGATTTTAAAGCAGCCGTAACTATGCTAAAAAACAAAAGGGGAAATATATTCCCAGCGAGTAACAGAAATCTCAGCAGAGAAACAAACTATAAAAAGAACAAAACAGAAGGTACTTAAGAGCAGATTAGAGATGTCTTAACAGATAGAGCAATAAAACATATACAATCTGAAGAAAAGAGAGAAATTTTTTTTTAAATAAAGAGAGCTTCAGGGACCTATGGAACAATAACAAAGGACTATCATACATATAAATGGAGTCCCAAGAAGGAGAGAAAAATGTATTTGAAAAAACAATGGCTAAAAGTTTCTAAATTTAATGAAAGAGAAAAATTTAGAAATTCAAGGTCAGAAAACTTGAAGAGGGTAAATGCAAAGAAACTCACGCTAGGTACAACATAGTCAAATTGCAATTAGAAAAGGAGAAAGAAAATCTTTAAAGTATCTACAGAAAAATAATACATTACATACAATGTGATAACAATAAATATTATGACTGACTTCTCATTAGAATCAATAAGGTCATGAAAGAACTGAACAACATTTTTAAAGTGCTGAAAGGAAAAAATGTCAACCTAGAAAGCTATATCTGGTAAAAAATGTCCTTCAAAAGTGAAATAAAAACAATTTCAAATGAGAACTAAGAAAACTTGAGAATTTGGTGTCAGCAGACCTACAAGAAATGCTAAAGAAATTTCTATAGACTAAAGGGAAATATAACATATAAATAAGAGAAAGAAATGTAAACTCAAATCTTCAAGATGGAATACATAATACGAGAAAAAGTAAATATGTAGGTAAATATAAATGACTTCCTTCTTAATTTGTTTAAAATATATAACCTTTAAAAATGATAACATCGTATCATGGAGTTTGTGATGTGACAATTAAAATGAGGGAATAGGAAAAAAAAAACCTGTAGATCTGCAAGGTTCTTGGGCTTTTTATGGTATAACATTTAAAACGCACAAAAGAGCACTATAAAGTGGGTATGGTAAGGAAAAAAAATTGATCTGCTACTCTGACTTTGTCTCCTACATCTTTCATTTCAATCCCTACTTAAATAGCTTCTATCAAACATCGACATTATTTCACCTATACAAGAAATCCTAAATTTTATATGAGAGGATAGATGAAGAAAACTCAAGTGCTTAGAGATCAACGTTTCAGTTTTAGAACTACTTCTCAGAGGTGGTAAAATATTAAATAGCAATAAGTGCTAGAAATAAAGAGATAAAAGTATTCTACCCTAGATTAGTGTAATAAAGAAGGCTGATATGCAAACAATAATAATCCAATGTGTCAGAACAGCAGTAATGTAGGAGCTCTCTGAAAAATCAAAACAAATTTTAAAATGTCTTAAAACAGTACTTTAAAGTTTTTATTAAGTAAACACATTGTATATCACGTGCCAGGCATTGTTCTTAGTGGTTTATCTATATTAACTTATAATAATATTATGAGTTTGGTACTACTATCCCCATTTTATAGACGAGGAAGCTAAGGTACAGAGAAGTTAAATAATTCAAGGAATTAAGTAATTTATTACTCAAGATCCCAGAGCTAGTAAGTTACAAAACCAGGATCTGAATTAGATTATGAATAAGGCTTCAGCCTGTGCTCTTAACCGCTATGCAATGCTGCCCTAATCCAAGTCTTCCCTTGCCACCATTCCAAGTGAGATCATTAAATTAAAGTTCTTTATTAATGACATTTATAAAATCACAGTAATTTTTTTCACTATAATGTTCTTGGATCTTCTCTACTCCACCCCCTTGCACCCCCCACCAAAACTGATGAAAGGTCAGCCAAATAAAACTACTATACAGGTTGGGGCAAAAGTAAGTTTACAGTTGTGAGTGTAAAAGTTTGTTCTTATATTATTCTTTATTAATGATTGTATTATTTTCCATATGAACTGTAAACCTACTTTTACCCCACCCTGTATTACAGTTGTTTTATTTGTTTGATTTCATAAATACTTTATTTATAAAATACGGAAGTATACATAAAATAGATAAACAAGCAGGTGCATAGCTGAATGAGTTTTTATAAAGCAAACCTTTCATGTAAGCAGCATTTAGATCCAGAAATCGAAGAACATTACCAGCACCCCAGAACCCCACCCCATGCCCCTTTCAGGCACTACCTCCTTTCCCCACACCAAAGGAACTACCATATTGACTGTTAACATCGCAGGGTAATTTTGACTGCTTTTTGAACTTTATATAAACAAAACCATACCAAATGTTTTGTGTCTGCCTTCTTTTGCCCAATAACATTTATGAGATTCATCTATGTTTAACATGTAGTTGCATTTCACTCATTTCCATGACTTAATTCCATTGTGTGAATACAGCACAATTTCCTTATCCACTATATTGTTGAGAGACAACTGAGTTGTTTACAGTCTTTGGTGCATGCAAGGACATTCTTGAACTTGTGCTCTGAGTACCATATTACGGGTTTCTAGTGAGTGTAACTAGGTATCATTTCTAGGCCACAGTCTATGCATATGTATAGCTTTAGTAGATGCTGGTAGAGTTTTCCAACATGTTTACCACTTGTAATGTATAAAGAATTCTATTGGCTCTATATCCTCCCCACTCTTGGTGATGTAGGTTCTTTTAATGTGAGACATTTCTTAACAATCTAAGTTTTAATTTCAATGATTGCCTATGAGATTGAGATTCTATTCATATCTACTATCTACTTAAATATCCTCTGTTTTCAATGCCAGTTCATCTTTTGTTCATTTTCCTATTGGATTACTACTGTTTTTTCACTGGTATATAAGAATTCTAGTATATTCTGAAATCAAGGATATATGTTTTACATATTTTCTCTTACTCTGTGATTTATCTTTTTCACTCTTTAAAAAGTCTTTTGATGAAAAGAAGTTCCATATTTTAATGTCTAATTGATTCATTTGTTTTCCTTTTGGGTTAATGCTTTTTTTTTTTCTTCTGATTTGCCTGCCTCCAATTCAGAAAAACATTCTGTACATACTTCTACAAGTTTTATAGCTTTAGTTTATACATTTAGGTCTACAACCTATCAGGAATTGAGCTCTGTATGTCTATGAAGTTATGGCAATTAATTTTTTCCCAAGATGGTAGTTTAAGTCTCCCTACAGTTATTTTTATTTGTTTTGTTTTGTCTTTGCATGTGTTTAATCGAGAAAAGAACAGATTCTTTAGTAGTCACTATTTGTTCCAGACCAAATAACAAACCAATACTGAAAACAAATCAGAAAAGACTATAAATTGCTCTTAACATCTCTTGTCATTCTGGCTACTTAAAATGTTTCAAGTATAATACTTTTACTCAACATTACTTCCCACTCATTTCATCAAAGTTTGGATGACTACAGAAGCTTTTAGCAACTGGCCTCACAAGATTTCTTCGACTTCACAAAGATAGCACAAAAAAGGCCAGTGGATAATATATAAACTGCACTGAAATTAAATGTTTATAATAATGCAGCATTTGATATTTAAAAAGCCAGTTGTTGAGCCATAACCAAAGAAATTTTAATTGGAAGTGACAAAAAGCACTCATTTTGTTACATAATTTTAACAGTTACACAACATGGTCTGAGTGGATATCACTTCATGTTACACAACAAAAATACCATCTAAAATTCTCAAATCCATCTTTACATCAAGGTTCACAAAACAAAAATGATAGAGGAAAGGAAAAAAGAAACAAAAAATGTTTTAATCAAACAGGTTCCTTTTTTATATTAAAAATCATCAGGACTAAAACCATACAATGGTATGTTTGAAGTATTACATAAAAATAACTTTTTCATAAATCTAAAGAAATTGGAATGAAAGTATGGGACTCATAGCTAAAACAACTAAAGATAGTCATTTGGCATATCAAATATTCTTCATTTTAGCTAAGGTGAAAAGTATAAATTCTGAGAGGTTGTTTACAATACATGTGCTACCACATATTAGTAATGTTCTACCAAAAACAAAACAAAACAATTTGGAACAACTAGGTCTTAATGCTGGACCTCTTACATTTTAATTGTAAAATTACTTTGAATCTTTGTCAAATCTAGTAGACCCTTGATATTCATGATGAAATCATAGTCAGACCTCTGCGAATCTATTAATTCACAGCTAATATTACCCATAAGATTAAAAGGGTACCCTGAAGACAACCTTCAAGATACTT